ACACACACTCACACACACACACACACACACACACACACACACACACACACACACACACACACACACTCTGTCATTTTACCAGAAGATCAAGTAATGACATTTTGAGTAAAGACATTTATGGGCTCAAATCAAAAAATAAATATCATCTGTGGATGTGCATGGATGAGTCGTTCACAATACGATCAATAAAGATGCAGTTTGTATGAATTTAGGACGAATTTTCCATCTCCTTCTGACTTGAACAAACTTGAAACTCTCATTTAAAACATGTTTGAGATGAAGTGAAATAGAAGAGTCTCTCAGTGATGCTGAACTCCAGCAGATGTCAGGGGCTGTGAGAGGCGTGTGTGTGTGTCTTACCCCGGTCTTATCACACAGTCTGAGTGTGTGGAAGGAGCCCATGGCGAAGAGCTCTCCGTCCGGAGCCCAGGCCACTGAGGTGACGGGGTAATCATGAGCAGAGCTGGAGAAGAGCAGCCGGCCGTAGCTATCCCACACCTGCAGCACAGACACACTCTCACACTCAACTCAAGAGGAGCTTGTCAATACACATGAGTTGTTGAGTTAATCATGATTTCATCATGTTAAAGCGGCAGTAGAAGACTGTGCTGAAGAATATGAAGGTCTGGATGTAAGACTGAACATAAAAGTCTTCATTTTCTCCCAACATCTGAGCCTCTGAGGATGCAGCGGATTACTTTCTTACTTTTGTTCGGTAGAGCGTTCGCACGGTGCGAGCTCTAACATTGCGCTGTTTCGTCCCACTTTTAGTGCATTTGGCTTCCCTTGCTCTCAGTCATGCTGCTGTTTATTGCTGTAGATATGCAATGCAGAGAGACGTATACGCTGCACCCTCTTCTGGAGACGGGGCGGGAATATGCAGCTCATTTGCATTTAAAGTGATACACACCAAAACAGCTCTTTCTTAGACACGCCTCAAAAATGACATTTTCCAGATGATATAATAAATGATCTGTGGGGTATTTTGAGCTGAAACTTCACAGACACATTCCTGGGACACCCAAGACCAATATTACATCTTGTAAAAAGGGGCATAATAGGTGCCCTTTAAGGATGCTTAAATATTTGTATTATGTTGGAAAACAAAACAAAAAGAGGAAGGATATTATATTTTAGAAATCAACATTATGAGTTTGAGGCTTTCTGCTTTGATTTAAGACCCTTCCATTTGTGGAAGGGCGGATTAAGACTTTTTAAGGTCTGCAGAAACCCTGTATTTACATTGATCTTTACCTTATATTTGCAGTCTTCTCCTCCTGACAGAATGAGATCATTGACAGCACTCCAGTCCACCTTCAGAATGACTCCGTCATGAGCTTTCCACTGCAGACACAGATCAAACACATACTATCATTGTTCAGGTGCAGGATATCATCAGTTCATGCACTGGCTGGGAATGGATCTGTGAGCTTGGTGTGCTGGTTGTGTGGTGCATCATGCATGCTGTTACAGTACTGCACTACTGTAACTGAGTTTGACCCGATCAGTACACACACTGCAGCAGCCTATGGACATCTGTGAATATATCTGACGCGAGTATGCATTCAGACATTCAGCATCATCTGGCTCTGGCAGTGAGTTCTAGGACACGTGTGTGTGTGTGTGTGTGTGTGTTTAACACTAAAGACCTGCAGTAACTGCATCAGTGCTGTTTCTGAAAGAAGCTCCTGGGCCCTCATTTATCAACAGTGTGTATGCACAGATGTGTGCGTAATGAGTGCATAAGAACAGTTTCATGCAAAGTGTGGGATCTACCAACTCTATAGAAGCTTTTCTATGCACTCTTGATAAATGAGGGCCCTGGAGAGTTTGATTAAAGCACTGTGATATCCATGTCGTTTCAGTGGGTTGTATCATACTACAGCTCCCACGATGCCGCTTCTGGTAATGAGTGTAATGCTCGCTGTAGTACAGTGAATACTGTATTAGCTACATATGACAGCACAGCCTGAACACACGTGTACTTGTGCTAATCTGTGTTCTGCTGTCTCTAGGAACACACACACACACACACACACACACACACTGCCCTCTTCCCAGAGATGTGAATGCATGCTGCTGTGTGTTTCTGCTGAGTTTATGTGACCCGTCTGTGACATTGCCCTCGGGTCTGAGCTCAGGAGGTCAAAGGTCATGTGGGGGAGGGGTCTTTGTGCTATAACAACAATAACAAAGGAACAGCTGCATATTCCCAGCCATCCCATCAAACTCATCAGTATTATGAGTTACTCCTCGTCATGTGACAGGACTACATCACCAGCAAACCCCCTAACGCTAGCATTTGGTTCCCGTTTGGTTATTTCTAGAAACCAAATAATAACATTCTAGATTCCACCATAAAATAACGTTCCCAGAATGTTGCAGGAGGTCATTATTTTTTTGAGCTTAAGTTTAAAAACAACATACAGGACACAAAACATTCCATAATGGTTATTTTTAAGTTTTAATTAACAACCAAAAACTAACATTTCCAGAATGGTGCATATTTTGATGTCTTTGTGCGACAACCCTAATAAAACCTTGTTCTCTATTGATTATTTTTTAGAACCATGTAAACTAACCTTCCAATTAAAACAATGCACATGTTTTTGTGTGATGCTCTATACAGCGCATTTTATAATGTTCGTTTAATTTTTCATAATCATAAATTACATTTTGTAGAATTTGACATGATTTAATAAAATGCAGAAATTACATCACAGTCAAATGATCAGATGAATCCAAATGTGTAGCTGAAAATAGTAAAGCAGGGTAAAGCATAGTGTTCATAATAAACAGGAACTATAAATACGTGGGTTTGTTTCGATCTGTATTTGTATTTTGTTTCTCTTGTCTTCCACAGAATGTCATTTAAAAAAAAAAAAAACGAATGTTCATTTGGTTTTACAAGCTGACTGACTGTCTTTATTGAATACTTACTTACAGATATCAGAGTAAATATATATTCGTCAGAGATTTGAGAAGAACATTATGTTTACCAACAAGCTTTTGTTTACTAACCAAACAGAAAGAAACACGTCCCCAATAAACTCTAGTGGCTATTCAATAGTAAAAAATGCTATCCCAGTGAACAGTAAATGTAATTAAAGAGTCTAGTAAATGTCGGTGAATAATTGTCAGTCTATGAAGAAAAGTCGTAGTTTGTGAACACAGAGTCTGGGTTGTGTGTGTAATGCTGTACCTGCAGGACTTTGGCGCTGGGCTGCAGCGGCTTGATCACCAGCTGTCGACCCGCTGTGTACAGAACCCGTCCTGAGTCTGGAGCCCACGCCACGGAGTACACGGGAGTCCCTGCATTTAATCATTTGAATTACAATTATAATTTACACTCAATACATTATTATTGCATACTGTTTTATAATATACTTCAATACTGAGGTGAGATAATTGCCACTATTTGCATTAAGTAGTATAAATAGCAGAAAATCCTGCTATTTTAACAGTGTAAATATAATCTATAGATATTTGCACCTAGTGTAAATAGAATATCGCTAAAAAAAACAGCTATTTTCACTTAGTGCAAATAGCCGCTGCCTTATAGTAATGGAAAGGTGTGAATGAATGGATGAGGCATTTTATAGTGCTTTATTGTGTATTGCTGTACACCCAAAGCGCTTTACGATCATATGGCGGGATCTCTCCTCAACCACCACCAAGCTGGATCAAGCTGCTTACTGATATCACTGCATGTAAATGGAATAAAATCCCACTGAAATGCCTTCAGAAGCATGGTATTATTTAGTAGGTTAATGTAATTTCCACTGAAACAGGAAGTCAGGGCGGGACATATCGATAGCCAATAGCGTTTCATTCATGTCACAGCCCGGCGAAGCAGAATTTTATATCAGTGAGTTTGAAAAACCCTGTCATCTCTTCTCCTCATCACTGATGTTCATAATGCTGAGGTTTAGGGTCTAACCGTTTTAAAACAGCATTCAGTGCAGAATTCTGATGTGTTTTGAGTGCTTTGGAGGGTCATTCACCTCAACAGACAGCATGTTTAAACGGTCTGAGTCGCTCCCTATTCTCTATAGTGTGCACTATGTACCATTCACTATACAGAAAATACTAATTCTGTGAACAAATGACCGATTTCAGCTGCAGCTTCAGTGTGTATTTATGCTTCAGATTCTAGAGAGCATTTGATTGGACAGAAAATCAGAGGAGAACCTGAAACGCAGAATGATGTCATCAAAATTGTTGATCCATACTACTGGAAGTGAGAAACTGTACATTACTGATGCTTATATCTTCTATTTTGTCGGTTTTGGAGCACAACTCAGGATAAATGAATACTATCCAGCAAAAAGCAGAGATTTAAGTAACAGCAGAGCACGCAGAGTAGCCTAGTTTAATTTTGTGTGAAAACATGGCGGAGAGCTGCGAGGTTGTAAACGAGTGCTAAGAGTATTATACAAATGTGTGTGTGAGTGTGTGGCTCTTAAGCATGATTTCCTCTCTATTTAACATTATTGTAATGCAATAAAATCTCATTCTCATTACAAAAATAACGTATTATTCATATATAGTATTTGTTATACTACCCTTATTTGCTATTTTTAATATAAATAATTTATTACTGTTTTTTTATTACTGGATTTCAGTAGTAAGAATATAAGAGAATCACACACACACACACACACACACACACACACACACACACAACAACAACAACACATAACCTCGTAAACGCTCTGATCCGTGTGCTTAAATATTACTTTCATAATGTGAAGTATTTCTGAATGAAGTGGAAAATAAACAAGGAAAAACCTCACAGAAACATATAAACTAATTTTACAGTTCAACTGAATAATAACACAGTTAAATAACACTGACACTGTTCACGCTTTACAGCCAGAGAGGAACGGAGTCTGGTCTCTTTCTCCAGAAGTCATTGTCTTGCTCAGGTGCACTATGGCATGACTATCAATCGAGGTTTGGATCAAACTGTTCAAATAGGGACTTTAGAGACACTACTGTATGACTTCCTGTAAAGCTGCTGTCAAACAATGGGTATTGTAAACAAAAAAAAAGTGCTATACAGATAAATATGACTTGACTGATGTCATTTTTTTATTTCTCGGCTATATAAAGGAAAGTCATACAGGTTTGGAACACAAGAGGGTCAGTAGATGGCCACAGAAGCAGGGCTTGAAAACGGAAAATCCTAAAAAATGACCCTCACTTAATAAGAATAACATGCTGAAGTATTGTGAAATACATTAAGACTGATTTTTTTATAGGCTTTATTGACAGATAAGTTGTGAGTGACTCTTGAAGGACCAGCTAGGATTTTTTGGCTCATTTTATCAGTAAAAGAAAACATGCCTAATAATTCTGCACACCTGAATATAAGGAGTTTTTCACTTCCAGCCTTCGTGGACAATTATATATCACTTATAAATGATTAAATACAAAATGAATAGTAGTTATTAAGATTGATGTGGTTGGGAAAAAAGTATGATCAGAATATCATCGTGGCTAATAATTATGCACGCGGTGTAGAGATGCAGTCTTCTGAGGGAGTATGTTGCAGTGCACCTGTGATAAGAGCCGTCCCATCATGATTCCAGCGTCCGGCGAGCACAGCTCCTCTATGGGCCTCCACACTCTTCTCTACACGTCCAGATTTAGACACCAGGTGGAGTTTACCTGCACAACACAACAGCACACACACTCACAAATACAGCTTCTGATCACTGAAAGGTTCTTTAGGGAACCAGGGAGGGATCTTGAAAACCCTTTTTAGGAACCTTTATTTTTTTATGAGTGCACCACACTCTGCTCAAAAATACTAGATGAGAATAACAAACCACTAAAAGACAATAAAACAATTCCTGTATTAGAGTAATTATTGTAGTTAAACTGGTTCACATCAACATTGATAACTATAATGAAATCTATATCAGAATCCATACTAACAGTCGTTAAGTTACTGTTTATTAAAGCACGCGCTGCAGATTTATGCATCTGCTGCTTCAAACGCTCCAGCTCCTTAAAGTCAGGGAAGATTCTGATTGGCTGTCAATGGTTTCATCACTCAACACCTGGAAAAAGTCATTCTGAAAGTGATTCTAACTATTTTATTCCTCTGTGTCGTTATCGCTATGAGCTTATTTATTCTTAAAGTATTACAATGATTATTAAAACTGTAAATCATCAATGATGACACAGTCTACATAGATTCATCACTGCAAATACTGAGTATTACAATGTAAAAGTAAAACATCTGGACACTTGGCAGTAATGAGAATTTGAGAGAAATATCAAGTCTAACTGAAATGAAAATAACTTTTGTAATGCAACGGTCCTAAAACAGGCTTCAATATGGTTTCCTCATATGTTTTAGAATTATGACTAGAAATGTTTGCATGAGATTTAGTCAAGACAGAATGGAGCTGATCACTTTTTCACGTTTTTTTTTCTTCGTATACATTATCAAATTGTCCAAAACTCACAAAAGCAGCCGTCCACGTACTCTTCGTGGTTCTGGACTCTGTTTAGCACAGATGCAGTCTCGTGTGTGACTGTGAGAGAGAGTGTGTGTGTGTCTCTGTGTGTGTGTGTGTGTGTGTGTGTGTGTGTGTGTGTGTGCATGTTTATGTGGTTTATGAGGACACAAATTTGTATAATAACATGGGTATGACATAGGTATTACAACGAGAAGGTGATTTATGAGGACATTTTCAGTGTCCCCGTAATTCAAAAGGCTTATAAATGAGGCTTTGAAAATCTAAAAATGCAGAAAGTTTCCTGTGAGGGGTAGGTTTAGGGGTAGGGTTGGTGTAGGGCGATAGAATATACGGTCTGTACAGTATAAAAACCATTACGCCTATGGAGAGTCCCTGTAAACCATAAAAACAAACCTGTGTGTGTGTGTGTGTGTGTGTGTCTGCTTGTTTTCGTTAACTCTAAGCGTATACTTTGTGGCGGTGCGTATTAAAAGAATCCTGAGTGTTCTGTGTCATTTGTGGTCCCTAAAAATGCAAATCAGCATGCTGCTGCCCTGCGCTTTGCTTTATTTAGTGCATGTGAGCGCAGTCAAGCCCACAAAATCAGCTCACAAGTACACAAGCATGAAATACTGTGCAGATGATATGTGTTACCATGTGACCAGGAGCTCAGAAATACAGTTTCTGTTCAGTGGCTTTGTCTAACAGCAGAACCGTGGCGGAGCTCTAAACCAATTTTACTATTTAAAATATCTGTTTTCTCTGTGAATCTCTGTTAAACTGTAATTTATTTCTGTGATGCGCAGCTGTATTTTCAGCATCATTACTCCAGTCTTCAGTGTCACATGATCTTCAGAAATCAGTATAATATGCTGATTTGCTGCTCAAGAAAAAAATATTATTATTATTAATATTTAAAACAGTTGAGTACATTTATTTCAGGATTCTGCATTTATAATGTTACAAAAGAGTATTTCAGATAAATGCTGTTCTTCTGAACTTTCTATTCATCAAAAAAACCTGAAAAAAATTCTACTCGGCTGTTTTCAACATAATAAACAGAAATGTTTCTTGAGCAGCAAATCAGCATATTATACTGATTTCTGAAGATCATGTGACACTGAAGACTGGAGTAATGATGCTGGAAATACAGCTGCGCATCACAGAAATACATTACAGTTTAACAGAGATTCACATAGAAAACAGTTATATTGAATAGTAAAAATATTTCACAATATTACTGAGCAGAAGAGGCTTCTTTAAAAAAAACATTAAAAACCTTACTGTTCAAAAACGTTTGAGTGGTCGTGTATATCAGAGCACAGAGAAAGCTCATCAAGACTTCTGTTATTCCTGTGAGCCAGGCCTTTACCATCAGTGCTGGTGAGGGCGAAGCTGTCGGCCCCGGCCTGCTTCTTCCCGCTCACGCTCTTGGGGAGCCAGTGCAGGTCGAGGGGGTAGATCTGGTCCTGGAGCTTGACGAGGACGCTGGTGTCGTTAGTGAGCAGGTTCCACCGGAGAATGTGGTGGTCGTCGCTGCAGGAGTACAGCTCATCAGCGCTGGTCCATCCCACGCAGCTCACCAGCTCTCTGTGTGCTCAGGGGTCAAGGGTCAACAAACAAACATCTCTCTCAACAGTGCAGCCAACTCATTCTCAGCCGAACTCACTGAACGAAGGTCCATTTGTTGCTAAATGATGTTGTGATGTCACGATGCAATATTGTGTCACTACATCAACTCTCAGCCATAGATTTCCTACATGTTAATTCAGATTTGTTCGTTAAATAATATAAGTGCATAATACAATTTTAAAATATAACTATTTTTAAATACATTGAATATGTACACATTTTTGAACGATTACAATTTAAGTAGTATTTTTTTTATTAGCTAGTAAACAAGTAAAACTACACATTCTGAACAATTACACTTTTAAGCAGTGTATTAGTAGTTAGTTAGTATGCTACACTCTAAGAAGAGTCTGGCACAATCTACTGTGTTTTCCACAGGTTTCTTACCTGCGTTTTTAATTACGCATTGTATTTTGTGATTCGGGTTACAGGGTTACAACAGATAATGTCCTGGAAAATTACTAGCACCTTTTCCATTTTTCTAGATATTTTTCTTACAGTGTACTAACAATCGCAGGTATAATTGTATCATAAATGAACAATTATTCAATTATTATTATTATTAAACAATTGCAAACAGCAGCTAAATTAATTCATGTGATGTGTGTAGTGCTAGGCATCTGTGGTTTCCTCTTTTTGTGTAGTTTAGATGGAAAATGTGTGCCTTTTTATCGTTTGAGTCACTTATCAAAAGTTGCTAAAAGTTGCCAAATGAATTGTAAAAATTGCTAAATTTGTTGCTAGGTGCTTTTGGAAGAAAACGTTGCTAGGGTAGTCTGAAAAGCTGCTAAATGTAGCAACAAAATTGCTAAGTTGGCAACACTGTTTCTGAAAGTTCCTCCAGTTTTGAAAATGTTTCTCCTTTGTTATGCAATGTTAATGGAACATTTCATTTGATCATTTTGCAAACATTACGAGAATGTTACATTTGTATGCTCTGTGAACGTTCTAGTAACACTTGAGATAATAATAGATCATTTAAGTAACATTTGTAGATGATCGTCCACCTAAAACATTTCAGTAAACAAAACAAAAACACATTCTATGAATGATGTATAAATGTTTTGAGAACATCATTAAAGACCAGTGCTGCATCCCAATCCACATCCTATCCATACTAAATAGTGCTTGAAATTAGACAGACTCAAACAGAATTATAAAAAGTGTGGATATGTGAGAGGGACCGTTCAGTAGAGTTTTAAATAAAGGGGTTTGAGTGATCAACAATCAAAATCTATCTAACCTGATAGAACATTACTTGAAATATATATATATATATATATATTTAATGTTATCTGCTTTATATTGCATCTGCAACAACACTGTGAACTTTTCCAGTTGGTCATTAAGTCTTAAAAGCATTCTTATGCAAACACTTGAGAGTCCAGTAGATAAGAAGATAAGTTATATATGCAGCTGTGGTCAGAAGTTCCAAAGTTTTCACACCCCGCTGAGAAAAGTACACTTCCATGATGTACTTAAAGTGCTCTACTTTCACACACTAACACACAGAAAACAGTGCTAATATTTGGTAGCATGCTTCCCTTGGCTGTTTTAATAATACATGTATTTAAACAACAACATATTTGTGTGTAAAAACGACGCATGTGTGTGCAAGTGCAATCAGTGACATCTCAATACTACCGTGCTATACAAGTGTATGCAAGCTCGTATATGTGCACATACACGATGTATATTCGGTTTTATATGCTAAGACTATGAATACGTGCCAATGTAAAGGATATGTTTGGGCTGCTTCAGCAGAGATGTTTTCAGCCGCATCCTTCAGCGTCCCTCTGATGCGTGTAATGTGATAGTTCGCTGTTTTTAAGGAGAAATGGTGCTCTGAAATCATCGATCGTGAATATGGCAGCATGCAGACAGGAGCAGAAACGTGTTTACCTGACTGAAGGCGCCGTTGCCACGGAAACGCGTTAGCATTTGCCGTGCTAGCCAGCTAATTCTGACGACATCGCTTTGAATGCACGAAATAATCTGGATTCGTCTCGATGACGAAGACTTCTGAGTAAACGCTAATCGTTTACATTACGTCTCAGTCTCCTTCTTATTTGTTATCTGACTGTTTGCTTTCTTTGCAGTACACTAGAGAGTGAACGGATTAGACGACAACTGCGCCCCACATCTCGCGAGATGAAGTTCATTCAAAACTACAGCCATACTTCTCGCGAGATGTTCTGAGCTCATTCTATGAAAAATATTTTGTGTTTTTAATCTCTGTTTCTATTCTTAACGTTTTCGAATGTATTCAAATGTTGATGTATTTCTTACAGATTTACTAAAGTACTTTTAAAAAGCTGTCTATGTTTTGTTAACGGTTTTTACTTTGTACTTGTTTTTCTTTAGCTACTTAATTTATGCTGTTTTTTTTAATACCTCGATGACGAAGACTTCTGAGTAAACGCTAATCGTTTACATTACGTCTCAGTCTCCTTCTTATTTGTTATCTGACTGTTTGCTTTCTTTGCAGTACACTAGAGAGTGAACGGATTAGACGACAACTGCGCCCCACATCTCGCGAGATGAAGTTCATTCAAAACTACAGCCATACTTCTCGCGAGATGTTCTGAGCTCATTCTATGAAAAATATTTTGTGTTTTTAATCTCTGTTTCTATTCTTAACGTTTTCGAATGTATTCAAATGTTGATGTATTTCTTACAGATTTACTAAAGTACTTTTAAAAAGCTGTCTATGTTTTGTTAACGGTTTTTACTTTGTACTTATTTTTCTTTAGCTACTTAATTTATGCTGTTTTTTTTTAATACAATGCTTTTGAATTTAATTTTGAACATGTTCGGTGTGCCTTCTGTCGCTAAAAAATAACTAAAAATAAAAGTGCCCGGTCACGTGACGCGCGGAGGGCGGCTGTTCCCATGATGCACTGCGCGGCTGCAACGGACTCGGGTTCGTGCGCTCAGTTTACGCGCCATTTACGAGTGTGTTTTGTGTGGAGGGAAGTAAAGAGCGCAGCTTTACTCTAGTTTTACTCTCTTAACGCGCAGTCTACGCGAAGCCAGCGGATAAATCGGAGTAATATCGACGAGAGCGAGGGAAATCAGCCGAATCAAAGGTAGACGATGACATTTATGCGGGTTGTTTGTGAAGTGTCGGTTCCTCAGATCGCACGCGCCGTTTATTAACGTTAATGAATGCGTTCAGTAATTAACAGTCACATCAGGCGCTCAGAAACGACGACATGCTTCCATAATGCGAACTAGTTTAACCCGATTTCATTGAAATGACTGCAGATTCATTCGTTTTGGTAATTATTATCCTGAAGCAACGCGTTTTCTTCGCTGTATGTAACGCACTAATGATGTCTAGTTTCAGTTAAAGTGAATCGGTTTGTTAATACACGTCTTATTTATTAGGCATCTTCTGGTTTGTGTCCGAGGGCCGTTTGCAGACACATCGCTGTCATGTCGTTTATAAAGCTGTGAATATTGTACGCAAGCGAAGCGTCTTGCTGTAACGTTAGTGTTTCAGAACTCCGTCCATGTTTGAGGCCACTCGGGTTTGTGCTTGTGTAGTTTCACTAAACCGCCCCAAACGAGCTCGTTTGTAGTGAGCTGCTGCAGTATTTGTTTCGTGATGAAGTTTAGCTCAAACGTGGAAGCTGTCAGCACAAACCGCTGAAGAGTTTCATCAGCTCGTGTGTCTGCAAGTCGCGTCGTGTGCTCGGTTTGTCGTGTTGTAGTTTCCAGCTGTGTGTGAGCGGTGAAACCCCGCCGTCAGTTCACAACACACACACTCTCACACACTCTCTCTCACACACACTCTCACTCACTCACTCACACACACACACTCTCTCTCACACACTCTCTCACACACTCACACGCACACTCTCTCTCACACCCTCTCTCACACACTCACACACACACTCTCTCTCACACACTCTCTCACACACTCACACGCACACTCTCTCTCACACCCTCTCTCACACACTCACACACACACTCTCTCTCACACACTCTCTCACACACTCACACGCACACTCTCTCTCACACCCTCTCTCACACACTCTCTCACACACTCTCACTCACACACTCTCTCACACACTCTCTCACACACTCTCAC